TTAAAACGTAATGAGTAAAAGTACAAGTACTTTGAGCAAAAGTCACTAGTAAAAAGTAGGTTTAATTTTAAAAAGTAACGAGTAAAGAGTAGAAGTAAAAGTATAAGTACTTAAAAAGTAACGATTTTGAGGTGCATTTCGAGAAAATTAAAAATTCAAAGTAACCTTAAATTTCATTAAAAAATATAAGAAAACATATTTTTAAACTGAAAAGCAACAAATTTTAATTTACATGTAATTTTAAAATGCATGAAAAAATTACAAAATGCATTAAAAAATCCAGAAATTGAGAAATACGCTAAAAATATGAGGAAATCGAAAATAAATGTTTTTATATAAGAAGAATTTTTATTTATGTTAATTTTGAAAATATCAAATATTTTTAAACTTTGTTACTTCGAAATTAGAAGTAATAAATTTGTTGAACAAATTCGATAAACATTATAATTTTTTCTTAAAAAATAAGTAATAAAAACAATAAAATTTCTTACTGACATACAAGTCCCCCTTAAATCCATTTAATTAAAAATTATATTTCTATTTTAAGAAGGTTAAAAAAATAATTTTATATTTGTAAATAATATGAATTTTTAACTTGTGATATGGAAATATTGCATTGAATTCACTCCTAATCAAGAATGGAACACTAAAGTTTTATTTCTGAATTTATTTATATGACAAACTAAATGTTGATGTGGTAAAATTCTAAAAAGAAGAAACAATTATTTTTATTCAGAAAAAAAAATTCAGAATTTTTTTAATACACACTATATTTTAATAAAATTAAGCACAGTTTTCATATTTGAAAACTTAAATGCCAAAAAAAAATTTATATTCTGTGCAAGAAATGTTTTATTTAGTAACGTTTAGTAATATCAAATAATCTATTGAAATTATTTAGAAAAATACGCATATGGGTGACAAATATATTGCTTGTCAAAATCAAATAATTATATTAAGACATTTTTTCAAATAAAAAACAATTAGATTTCGCAAAATTATATATCTAATTCCACACAAATTAAATCTGCAACGTACTTTACTACCATTCGTCATTTCAAGCCAAACTAAGCAAGTTAATATAAACAAGGAAATCATAGGTTATATACTTTTTGGTCTAGGGCAGGGATGGCGAACCAATGGCACGCGTGCCATTTATAGCACGCGACACAATATTTTGGGCACTCCACCGATCAGAATTGTTGTTACACTATGAATTGTTATTACACAAATGTTATTACGCTATGAAGCATATGTAACAATTATATTAAATTTCACAAAAACAAACAAAATAATAAACAATTATTAATAAAAAAATTAAAAATTAATGGCAAAAAAAAATTTATAACCATCGAAAACAAGCTAACAATAAATAACTAGCAAAACAATCAACAGTTCTGCTTAAACTAACACCTAACAATAAGTTATTGGTCATCTAATCTGCAACAACAGAAGTCACAATGATGTTACTTTAAGTTGAATTACGTGTATAACTGAGACATTGCGAAAGGTATTTTTTTTTTTTTAATGTAAATGAAAAGTTTTGAGTTGATAGTATTTAGTATTATTATCCCAATAATCACGAAGTCAAAATTATTTGACGGCACGTCTATGACCTCATCAAGCAGTTTTTTTAGAGAAAATGGCACGTTGGTGTATAAAGGTTCGCCACCCCTGGTCTAGGGCTTTGCGCATAAAAAAGAAAATATAAGTCTTTTTTTTAACGGACCCAGCACAAGTCAAAATGAATCAATAGAACATCAAAGATGCATTAAATTGGTTACTTAAAACTATTTTCTAAGGAAAAAACATTCCCTACCAAAAGAATAATTGAAACCACCATTGATCCGAATTCATAAGACCATCAATAGTTCTTAAGGATTACCGGCCACAAAAACTAACGAATTTTTCCAGAAAGAGCTTTTGTGGAAGCAAGCTGCCAAAATTCACAAACTCATAAAGATAATTCATGCAGGACAGGATGCCAAAGTAGACAGTACATCGATGTCAGAATAATTGTAGCCTTCGTATACTTAAAGGTTGGATGAATTATCCTTCTTAAAATATTATACACACATTATACTTAATTTATAGTGTTTAAATGCCATTTTTTTTTCTTTTCTCAAACTTTTCATTTCAACAGTCATTCATTTTTGTCACATTTGTCATTTTACATTTCGTGTTATGAATTATTTTGCTAAAACTGTTTCTGAACTTTTAAAAGCTTTTTTTATCTTGGGTTTTGTACTCGTAGAAAGGGTTGAATTATGTTATACCCATAGTCGAAGACAGACAAAGGAATAAAAAAAAAGTGTATATAATTTAAGGCCTTAAGGTACTCTTATTTCTTAATAAAACATTTTTATTTATGAATTTTCTGTTTGTTATTATCTTTTATGAATTCCATGTATCAAAGCAAATATGTAAAGAAAAAAAGTAGAATCAGATTTATCAATGGTAAAATAACATAGTTTGGAGGAAATGATTAATTATTTTTTCTCTGATAAATATCTCATTGTTCGCATTTTTATCGGTCAGAGCTTTCAGCAAGCACATAAAGAACCGCACTTAAAAATGAAAGCATTTAAAGTACATTATTACCATTAATAAATACCTTAATAAATCAAAAAAATGTTTTTAATGTCAGGCTGAAATTTATCCCCGGGTATTACACATTCAGAAGTTAATGGTTTTCCAAACTACATATCATTAACTTAAGGCATTAGAAGCAAAAAAAATGCTTATTGGTAACTAATGGTTTTGCGTGTCGAAAATGGCTTTACATAGATTTGTTTAATTTTGTCGTATTTTTTGTGCAAATATTTGCTACTGAATATCATTGTGTTTATCAGATTTTCGCTAGGTATCAAATATAAATTTGAATCTGGATGATTAATTTGCTTACGAGCTGCGTTTTTTTACGCAAATAAATTATTTATTATTCGGAGCATCAGTGTATTTTTAACAAAATGTTAATTGACCTTTTTGTTAATATAATGCGTGGGTTTTGAGCATTATTTTAACGGGAAATTGGACGGAAAAACTAATACAATAAAACATGACAGGTTCTTTTTAAATATTAATAGATTGTAGCTGAGCGAATTGTTAGATAAATGAATGGAATTCATTACAAATGATCACATAATAATACATTTCTTTTATTTTGGTGCAAATCGAAACACTTTCAATATTGTTGAAGTATTGAACTGTATTATTGATTACAAAACTTCGTGACATATTTAATTGAAAACATTTTTAAAAATAATAAAAATGAGCTTTTTTCTGTGTGTGCATGAAATATTCAGTAGAATTAAAATTAATTTTGGTTCACTGTAGGAAAAAAATTTAAAATTCATGGTAAAAAGAACTGGCTTTCAATGTGCCAACACATTTTACTGAAAATTTAATATTTAAGGTAAAAAAAAAGTTAAAAATGAATTAATCTCCGATCAACAATGTAAAAAGTTTGAATTCAAAGTTCCGGCACTTTACAGTAAAATCTATTTTTGTTGATGTTACGCTAAGTAGCATTATTTATAGTGTAATTTGATCCGGAATTTTTTACAGTGTAGGAATCAAATCCTGAAAATCTAGTTAACGAAAAGGACTCTAACCCAGCGTGCCAAAAATTAAGTAATGTCGTTGAACCATAATATAGATAATAGCTTACAAATTTAGATGATGTATTAATAGGATGTTAAATTGAAATATATTGCTCTATAATGTGAACAATTCAAAGTGAGGAAGGTCTAACTGTCATAATAAAATGCAGTATTAAGAATACTGTACAAAGCATACTGGTTTGAGGAAATGAGAAGCAATATACTCTTGAAAAAATGTTTATTCGCCACATAGTTCAATATTTTTTTTCAACTTTTTTTTATTAAATTTGTGAGCTTATCTAAAAATATGCTATTTTTAAAACTATAAGTAATCAATACATTGTATTGCATAAATAGTAATTTATATATTACTCCTAAAGTAATACGATCTTATATGTATAACATAAAGCATTAACACTTATGTATAATGATGCAAGATGTATAATGATGTTCAGTACAATTATGTAGATAACTAAAATGTGGCAAACTAAAAATTTAGCTATTAAAAATTTAGAGTGGAGTCGATTTATAATTTTTTTCAAAATTTGATGCTGTCACCTAACACCCTATTGTTGTACAATGCAAAGAAAAAAAACTGAAACGGATTATTTAGAATAGCTTCTGATCTAATGATTAGATCGTCATGCCTTAGGACTCATTCTTAATGGTTCAAAGAGGTGACCTCAAATATGCTAATTAATTAGTGCAGACGATATTTTGGTTCCTGCGAAATTTAATTTTAAAAATGTTGAATATTTAAATTAGTCGAATTTAAAAATTAGATTTCTCAGGAACTATTCAACCGACTTTGTTCAAAGTTTGCATTTTGCCTTGAAAAATACAAACATTACATAATTTAAAATTATGTAAGAACCTGTATACCTAACAATTAAAAAATTTACTATTGTTGAGTAAAATAAGAAAAAAACAAATATTTACGAAACTTTTTTTTACACTTTATAATAATGAGTAATTTCTGGAGCAAAAAGTGAAATTAACATTAAGAGGTCCGCATTTCGGACCGTTCTTCTGACCAAACTTTGGGGACCATTTTTTCATGATTGCGACTACCTCTTTTAGTATGCTTCTGTTCGCAACTTAAAATAACGTCTGAGCTTATTAATTAGCCTATTTGAGGTTATCCATTTGAACCATTAAGAATGATTCCTAGAACGTGGAGATCCGATCATTAGATTAAAAGTTATTTAGAGTGGTTTGCTTTTTTGGCGCATTGTAGAAGTATGGTAAGACCAAGAAAGTTACTAGTACAAGTACGGTGAAGTACAATATATTACGCTTATGTTACTAAAATGTATTTAGTATTATGAATATGCAAATAATGTTGTATTTGTTATATTTTACAAATTTTTTTCTAATTCCATAATTTTTGAATTATAGATATAGTTTCGAGTAAAAGTGTGAGAGTAACTGAACTAAAAGTTCCCTCTACCGCCATATTGGGAGAGTCAGTCACTCTTGTTTGCAACTATGACCTTGGGAGTGAAGAACTTTATGTCGTCAAGTGGTACAAAGACGATCTAGAATTTTACAGATTCGAACCAAAAGATGACAACCAATCAGTATATTTCTCTCAGCCTGGCATTGACATCGATGTAAGTTAGAGCAACTGAAACTTAATTGCTGATTTTAGAGATTTCGAATAATTTGTTTACCTTTTCGGAAATTTACTCATTGTTAGCATTGAATAATTAGTGTTCCACGAATGCTTCTTTGAAATAAAAGTTTTTTCTTCTACATTTTAGAATAATAAAAATCACTCCAAAAATTTCAACTTTAATTTAAATAGTCCAAGATTTATTTTTAAGATGAAAGCGTAATGTTTGTAGATGCTTAATTTCAAACGGTAGAAAAAAGAATGTTTTGGACTTACGACTTTTTGGACTAAGACTGTTTTGTAAATTTTTCGAACGGTAAAAAAAGAGCTTTTCAAAATTACTCCAAAACAAATATAGTCGAATCTGAAAACCCCAGAGCAAAATGCAGATTCTTAAAATCGGTGTGAAGGAAGAAATGTACTTTGGCTATCAACAAGATTCGAACCAAAGTTCGTAGTTGGATGCTTTAACTATCATAGTCCAGGGAGAGGTAGGATGCTTTATATAGTAACCATTGTGAATCCCTTCAAAGGTTTTTATGATAAAGTGAAATTAAAAAGTGAAATTAACATTACTGATCTCCTTGACTTAATTATTGGGACCTCATTTTCCAAACAGAGATCCTTCTTAATATTGATATTGGAAATTCGTATGTCTTGATATGCCATTGGGTAGGCCACGATATAAATCTCCCCAAAAATCCCTACCCCTGAGTGTACTACTGATGTTGACTTAAGCATCCTAAAAAGAACCCAAAAATCTTGATTTGAATCTTGCCTACAGCTAATGAACATTCATCCTCCACATCAATTTACACATCACCTCTTACGCATTTTAAAACCCCTCTACATCTCCTTAACAGCTATGTACTTTGCTCAAAAATAAGTATAAGTCTTTTCTATTTTGAATACCCGGAGATTTTTAAATACGACTATATTTGTTTCAAAGCTATTTTGACAAATTTTTGCTCGTTTTTGTGAAACCTTTTTTTCTACAGTGTGAGATCATGTAAAAATACGTATGCTTAATACTAACTACTAAACCTGTAATTTGAAACTTAAAAAAAGTGTCACAAATTTTCTAATCTAACTTTTGACACTATTTGGTTTCATACATTGTTTCTAGAACATTTTAGAAATGTCGATAAAAAGTATCATAATGATTGCAGAAAGTAAACACTTCAAAATTTTGAGTATCATTTCAAACTATTTCTGGGAAATTAAGGGTTTATTTATTTTTTTTTTTTAATATTCAGAATACTTTTGGGATTTTCAGATAATATTTGATATAAAAAATTAATTATAATTCCATTGTTAATATGAATACTACTTGCATTAAAAAATTCGAGCAGTGTATCTAAGAACGTAAAAGATTCTTCCACAAAATCTTGAATTTTGAATGCTACGCAAATATTTAAACTATACTTACACTTTTATTCGCTTTCAGTTCAGTCTAACTTATTTTAACCTCTTTTTTTCAGTTTAGTATCAAATGTAAAACATGAAAAAAATATATAAACATTTTTTTCCCCTAAAACTGAGAAATCGAGCTCTTTCCCACGGCTATATTTGTCCCTCTGGAAATCAGAGATCCATGTATACAACTTTCAAAGAAGCATATTATGATTCTTTTTAAAAAAAATTCCTTAGTTCACATTTCAGTATTTGTTTCCTATTTTGTTACATAATATGAAGTATTTTGTTTCTTTTACCTCAATTTACTCTCTGCGTGATTGAAGAAAAAAAGAAAGGAAAAAGAAAAATATCTTTGAATATATGTTCCTTTGAAAATACATTTTTTTCTTTCTTTCATCGGCTTAAAGTTAAACAAACATATGTTTTTATCTTAGTTAAAGTTGCATAAAATGTGTTTTGTTTGTGTTCAAAAAAGATATTTTCATTTAAAAAGTTATTCTAAGTATTTTTATTTTTAGTATACTTCAAACCCAAAAATAGATGGAGTTATTTTTTTTCGACTTGAGACTAAAAACTGACTTGCTCTTTGTAAAAAAAAATCAAACGAAAATAATAAAATAAAAACATTAATGACACAATACAATATTTTCTTCTTTGTGTGTATGTCTATCTTTTTGTATTGTCATATAATAGCAATATCTAGTTTAAACAATGCATCATTATACAAAGTAATTTTAGAGTGAAGAAAAAATGTATTTCAATTAGTTTTCAGTGAAACAGAATAGATTTTTTGCTTGAAATATAACGTAAGAGAATGAAGCATTTAATTATTATTTCTATTAATACCATTCAATTTAGGGTAAAGAGAATTTCTGAAAACGGTTGAATACATTTTTACTCTTGCATATAATTGTGCAACCACTCTGGAATTTTCAGATTTTCAGAAACACTTTTTATGGCGGTATCGAAAATGGTTATCATTATTAGTAGTAAATTCGAATCAAAGAAACTTGTGCATTGCTATATTCAAACAATTAAAAAAGATATAAAAAGATCAGATAGACATATTATTAAGTCATGATAATTTTTTAACTGTTCCATTTGCTTTAAAAACTACGGCTTCAGTTCACTACCTTTGGAACAAAAAATTTGCAAAAACCTCAAGTGTTGGAAATTATGTGAAAAGCATTTAGCGATTTTGAAATATTGCAGATTTTGGAAGTATCAGAAATAACTTATAACTGTTACGTATGCTAGGTAATATATGATAAAGTAAGAGATTCTTAAACGCAAGGTTTGTTTTAAGAAAAGAAACAAAAAATATGCAAATTTACAATTTTATCCCCATTGCAATTATAATTGACGTTTCAAAAAACAAATATAAAAATACATGAAAATTTACAAGTTTATGCACATAATAATTATTATTAAAATTGTAAGAAAATGCAAATTTACCATTTCAACCACAAAGTAATTATAATTCTAGTTGCCTTTTTAAAAAAAAAAATTAATGAAAGAAATTTTTAAAAGGATTATATCGTCTTAAAATTTTATCTGAGCATGCACGTGAAGTAATGGGAATTTGTTCTGTTAAAAAAAATAATAATATTTCAAAAATTGACCGATAAATGATGCTGTACTCGTCATAAGATGTTTTAAAAAACGTAACATGCACAACTCACATTGCACTTTTGATAAAAAGGCTGGAATGATATTCTGTATTAACCTATGCACAGTTAAAAACCGATATTTTTTCGTACCTCGATTCAAAACCTCATCGTTGATGGAATTTAAACAAGGAGTGTAGCAACCATGTGCATGTCTTTAAGTTAACAGCTTAGGAGGACTCTAATTGGTCGAGTATATTAAAATCCATCAATCAAGTTTTGAACTATTTTTTTAATCAAAACAAATTCCCATTACTTCACGTATATTTAAAACAGGTCACTCTGACTGATGGTTATTTCCTTTTAGACTTTTGAATGGGCAATTTTAATTATAATTATCCTGGTTTCACGTGTATTTTTTTAACTGACTGAGCAGAAGTGAACGACACGTACAGGAGATGCATGGACAAATAGTTTCAAAGTTATAAAAGTTTTACGTGCTAATAATTCCAATTTTTTAGTTTTACATTTTTACGCACCTAACATTGCTAGCTAAATTATAGAATGGCTATTGATACATTTGTATTGTAGAGCGCAGAATTGAATGAGGTTTAACACTTAAACCTCATTCATTTACTTACATTTACTTAATAATATTTACTTAACATTTACTTAAATAACTGCTAAAATACTGTGAAAATACTGTTACTGAATTTTAAAATATTATTACAATACTGTTAATTTACTGTTAAAATATTGTTACAATACTGTTAAATTACTGTTAAAATACTGTTGCAATATTGTTACAATACTGTTAAAATACTGTTAAAAATTTTTAAAAATACTGCTACAATACTGTTAAAATACTGTTACAATACTTTTAAAATACTATAAAATGCTGTCAATACTGTTAAAATACTCTTAAAATAATAACAGTTAAAATAACATATAACTGATAAAATACTGTAAATACTGTTAAAATGAATTTTTTAATACCCAAATTCTATGCAACTGAACTTTTTTTTTTGTTTTTTGGAAACTCCACTGCAATTAAAGTTTTCAAAATTACTGATTAAAATATTTAAAAATATATAGCTTTATTCTTTTCAAAAAATATATATTTATGTGAGTATTTTTATTTTTAAGTTATCAAAGTCAGGTAGCAACGTAGTATATTTGAAAAACGTAGCTCTTGACTCAGCAGGAACGTACAAGTGTCAAGTGTCTACAGACGCACCACTTTACAGTTGTGTTCAAGCTGTTAAAGATATGAATGTAGTTAGTAAGTGCATATTTAAATTTTATAAGCATTTATATACTTTATCAATGTGTGTTGCTTCAAATTATTTAATTTATGTGAAGCACTTCTCATTTTTATGGATGTATGAATGAGTGCGCCCTGTAAACGGATGTGACGCGTGGTTGTTGCAGAAATTGAATTCTTGTCCATAGATGGCGACACCGGAAAGCAAGGACCTTAATTGCCTACCACAACAACAACTTCTCATTTTCATAAATTAATGAAAATACATGATTTATGAAATTCTTTCATGTAATCCAACACTGTAAAAAGAAATAGGTTAGGTTTCTAGATTTATGAGAACACCAGAGAGTTGGTAATTTTTAATGAAATGCATGGTAATGATTTTCTAAAACTAACAATTGAATATGGTTTTGTAATATGTGATAAAATTTGATAACTTTAATATGATACCTTATAGCGTAACATAAAATCTATTTATTTATACGTCACAAGATTCATTATTTCAAATCTAATGTAGTTTCCGTTTGAACAACGGTTTAGATTGACTTATGATCTTTACTTTTAAAAAAAGAGACTTCACACTGTGAAATAAAGTATTGGTCAAAACTGCCAGACGATGGTAAAACTTACCGTGTTTCTGGCTCTATGGGAACACAAAAAAGATCGGTAATTTTTACCGAAGTGCTTCGCTAATGATTTTGGTAAAATTAACAACAAATAAATAGGGTATTATTGCACGTGACAAAAATTGATAACTATGTTAACATTAATAACTTTAGAGAATGACATGAAAACCATTTATTAGGTTAAAGTCAAATTTCAGTTTTGTATTTATTTTACTAAATATATTGTAATAATAACAATAATTTCGAAAACCAGAATTTCTGGTAAACCGTTACAATATGAAAGGAAAACTGACCAAATGAACTATTTAAATGCTGTAACCCATATTATATTTAACCCCATTTAATATTTATGATAACCAGCATTATGGTTCATTTTCATTTTACCAGAATTGGCATTACCATAGCAATTCGATAATTTTACCATTTTTTTTCTCGTTAAAGGTAACGCTTGTTCTAAAGTATTTAGACCATTAATAGTTCTTAAGTTAAAATTTCATTACATTTCGTTTTTTTCTCTTTAATAATATTTTAGATAACATTCTTTTTAATTGTTAAAAAAATATTGAATTGATTAAATTATAAGACAAGAATTTATGAATTATTTAGAAAACATATTTCAAATCTTACTTGAGAGTTCAAAAGGAAAAAACTTGGCAAATTCCAACTATAAGGCAAATAGAAAAAATATTTTTAAGTTATAGTTAATTTCAGTTTTCGAATAGTATTAATTTCAATGGACCTAATAATATTTCCGTTAAACTTATATCTTAGTTTTGATAAGGAAAAACGCATACCGTAAACCGAGGCGAGTCTACCCATTTTTTCAGTTTGCTAACTTTCAAGTGGTCAAACTTTTGTAAATATTAAAGAAAAAAGGCTTTTAATAGGTGTTTCGGAGTCGCTATTTATCCCTCTTTAAAGCTGTGAAATCGATTTTAGAAAATATTAACAGTTACGCTGTTACTGTATATTTTTATAGAACTGCTGACAAATCTCTCGTATGGGGCGAGTCTACCCATTCTACTAAAATGAATGTTAACATTGTAAATAATCAAATTTTACTATTAAATTGTTATTTTAGTTACTATATAGGATATTTATGAAGTAAAATTCATAACTTTATTATATATTCCATTTTTTTATTCATAAAATAACACAAATTGAGTATTTGATCGATTATCACATTTTGATCACAGTTTTGTTTTTATAATCATTAACATTATAAAATAACATTTTTTTCTGATTATTGTTGATAAAAATAAATTAAAATTAATATAAATTTACAATTAAATAATTAATAAATAATAATAATTAAAGATTATTAACAAAATCGAAATTCAAACATTGGGAATCATGAAAAATCCTTTTCCCATTCTTTTGGGAGGTAATAATAATTTATAAATAATAATTTATTTAACTTGCATTAAATAAAAAAAGTTAATTTTGTAATATAAAAATTGAAAAAATAGGTAAAATAAACATATTTTATATTTACATTTATATTTAACCTATAAATTTTCTTATTAATGATAAATTTATCAATGCAGAATTAAAATAATATACTCAAATTCATTTAAAATGACTTAATTTTAATATAAACAAAGTTCTAAATTATATTATTATGCTTTATTAAAACTAAATACGAATGGGTAGACTCGCCCCGCGAATTCTGGCTTTTTGTTTACAACAGCAAAACTTACATTCTTTTTGTTTTTTTTTATATAAAATTAATGTAATCTTAGTCTTAGATAAGTTTATCACTTAACCAAAGTGAAAATAGTAATAATAATAATATACTTACGGAGCACCAACTAAAAGTTTGCTGATTTTCAATACAAATCTCTCAAAAGACGTTTGAACAGGTCGGTTAAAAAGACACCAAATAAATAAAAACGGATCAAACTACTACAGCGCCATCTTCCTTAGAGTCTGAACTAAGTCCTCCACCGGTAAAAAAAAATTTATTTGCAATTTAAAATAGTGAAAATGAAATAAAACTAAAGTGGGTAGACTCGCCCCGATTTACGGTACTAAGTTTTAAACAACTCATTTGAAGTGTAATTTCAGTAAATTATAAACAAAATGTCCTTAAAATAAACTTTTAACTTTTTTACGCATCAAAAAATCGACGTGCAAAAGAAAACTTTTATAACAAGGGTTTAAAATCTTTACTGTCTAAACTTTTTCATTATGATTCGAAAAGTCATTAAATCTTAAGAAGTAATAGTTTATTTGTTTCAGATATCTAAGGTTGTTAAATAAGAAAAAAACCTAAACAATTTATAAAAACCCTTGTTTAAGGTAATATATGTTTCAAAACAACCTTTAAAAACCTAAACTACTTTGAGTTTTAATAGAGATAAAAATATTAATCTCGAAAAAAAGGAACAAAAATCGAGAAAAAGTACATAAAGAGATAATATTTTCCTTACGTAAATACTTGACGTATGTTTTGCTTTACTAAACTCATTTACCGTGAAATCTTATTACAACAGAAATCTTATTCAACTCGTAATGTAAATTAGATTAAAAGTGGCGCATTTTCTATAAATAGCTCCGTTTCCAACGAGTGACTTTTAAGATATTTCGGAAAATGTAATTTGATTTGTTGTTCTAGGTAAAGCTTCGAAAATTATTTGATGTTCATTTGATATCCTCTAATTGAAAGCTTTCAAATAGCTAGCAGCATTTAATGAACTCTGACGTCACTTCGGGTTTCACAACACATTGTAAATGTCGTGTTTTGTGTAGTATTTGTTGAATTTAATTACCTGAGCTAAAACTCTTGTAGCCAAACAGTAGTAGAGGAAGTGACCTTTGGGATTTTTGAAATAGACTATTAGTACATTCTGCGTCTAATAATTTTTATTAAAATTTTCGTGTGCTGATTCAACTTAATTTAGTACGCTTTAAAAAATGGATTCTCAAATCTCATAAAAGTTTCTTCATTTTTGACGAAACCGTTTCCTGATATATATGCTGGTAATGAGCGGTTCCTCAAAGTGAGGAAATAACTATATTTTTATTTTATTTTATAATTGTCTTTAAGCAGCCGATCTAATTTTAGGAAATAACTATCGTCACTTTTTCGAGGAAACAAATTTCGTCAAAAGTAACTAGATTTTTTCCCCAATTCTCACCCGTATATTTTGACATTCGCCTTGTTCCACTGTTCGCCTTGCTTCAACAAAAGCGTCGCCCTGAGTCTCAAACAACGTCAAGGCTCATACTGAGGATACATTTTACGAGAGCATACGTTATTTTACAGTTAGTAGCTTTGTATTTCTCAAGATAAATTAATAAATAAAGGAAAAAATAAGGAACTGGCCTTTATTTTTATGGCCATGTTAAATTTACGGGCATTTGTTTATTTCCTGCCAAGAACTTTTTAACTTGTTTGAGTGAATTTTTATATTGTTTGCTATCGAATAAGAAGTCCATCAAAGGTGTTTATTTGAGATTATAAATTGAATAACATGCGGATAAACTCGATACTGTACATAAAAGGCTAAATCTTCTAGCTACTATCATAAACATATCACAAACATTACTGTCATAAGCAATATAATCAATTTTGAAATTTGAAATTGTCAGACTTTTACTATACCTGGGTATATTAACTATTTAATAATAATGTTTAGAATTATCATGCAACTAAGTATACCCAATGTGAAATAGCCATCATCTGTTGATTAATATCTTTAGAATAGAAACTGGAACTAGTCCAATCATGAATTTTCCTCATAACATTAACTATTACTAGTAGTGCACGTTAATATAGTTTGATCAGCTAGATATTACATCTAATATTAGCAATAATATTAAATAAGTTGTCCTTCCTAACAGCCTGATACAATTAGTTAATATAATTATATTTAAGTACTAAGTTTGTTAAAAAAAAAGTCGCTAAAAAGAGTAGTAAGGACAATATGTGTTTATAATTTAATGCAACCAATTGATTATTATTCTAAGTAACTGGTTATTTAAATTATTTTAATAAGTAACTTTTAAAAAATATAGATAGTTATTTACCAAAGAAATTGATGTAATTAATTTTAATAAAATTACAAAAAATTAAAATACCAATAAAAGTTATGACTAATGTGCAAAAAAACTCTTTATTAAATGATGTATTGCTATGCATTAAACATATTAGTTTATAGCATTATAATAATAGTAGAAACTCACAGGAATTCGTTGTTGATAAACATTTCAAAATTAATCTTGTTGTAGAACAATGAACAGAACAAATTGTACGTATGTAATTGCAATAAATGATATTCCTTATATGAAGTGGTTTAAAAAGTTATAGTAGTTTTGAATCTCAATAAAAAAAACATCTACTACTGTATAATAATGATCTATATTTATGGTAAACACCTTAAAAGTTTGATAATATTTGCTTTTTGTAATTCAAATTAAATATTTTCTTTTTAGTTTTACCAATGGAAGGACCAGTCATATCAGGGGGAAAAGGCAAATACGATTTTGGGGATAATGTTACTTTAAATTGCACATCAGCCAAATCAAAACCAGCTGCCAAATTGAGTTGGGTAGTAAATGGAGTTTTAGTAAGTATTTAACAATCAAATTGTTTATTTCTAAAACATGAACTCATATTTTCTAAAAGTGTTTGATCTTACAAATACAATATAGCAGAAAATATAATGAAATTGTTACTTATTTTAAGACATTTTCTTACTAAATGTGTTACAGTGAAACACCGAAATCTGGAGAATGTCGACATTCAAGTAGTCGCTTGGTGTATGTCCGAAATATTTGCTAAATACTACCTTTATTTCTGACTCTCACCGGTGAATGTCAACAATCACATAGTCGCTTTGGTGAATGTCCGAAATATTTGTTATATCCAAATTTATATTAATTTATTCGTTAATATTAATATAGTTATTTGATATATTTATATTTCTTCTATATTTTAATACTTACTGACGATAGATCAGAAGAAACATCAGTGTTTGGAGTATCGGGCAAATATATACCAGGCAATGGCGCTTGACCTTAAAAAAACATCAGTGTAGGGTATACCGGGCANTTTAGATAGAAAATCTAAGACATCGTATTTGGTGTTTGTCGACATTCACCGGGGAAAGTCAACAACCACCGATTTCGGTGTTTCGCCGTGATATATATAAAGCATCGGACAGTTCCTAAGAAAACGAAACACTATCAACCCAAGTCCTCTTGCTTTCTAATATCTTGTCGATTCTGTTTCTCTATGGAGAGCACAAGTACGCAGGTGTTATTTGTCCCCACATTTGCTTCTTTTGTCTCATAGGAGGCAAACAGCAATGATAATGCTGTAGATGTGGGCAGAAAGGTAACCATGAGCAGTTGCCAAGTGTATCTAGAAGACTAATACTTCTTCCATATCTGGTTCATATTTCAATAAACAGTTCGTTCTGGTGCGCCGACTGCATAATTTGTTTAATTATTCATTTAGTAAAAGTGCGAAAGGAGTATTTATTGTAAATTTTCTCTTATTTTGTGTTTGAAATGTATGAAACTTAATATCTATTTTCTCAGTCTCACAGGAAACAAAAGTTAGAAGCAATAAGTTTAATTAATTATCTCTTTTTATTCCACTGAAGGTTCTTTTTAAAATATAAGTTATTTATCAACACGTTGGTCTAAGTATTTTCAGTCGTAAGTTGAAATTTTGTGTGTTTTCTAAAATTGTTATCTATTATCTTTTTATTATTTGGATTTTTCTTTCTTTGTTTAGTTAAGTTTTTAGACCTCTTGTTTTGACATGCAAAACCATATTGATTTTCTCTGATACATTCGAATATTTGAAATCTCTGTGGTTTAAACTAAATACATGCACGATTTTTATTTCACACTAAACTCGAATTGTTATTGGCATCAATCTAACTATCATAATTGAATCTGCCTCAAAATTTGAACTTATATCGTGCTCCCTGAACTTGGAAGTTTAAAAACTCACTTGAAATTTTTAATAAAGGCGTTTTAAAATCCGTACACATAAAGAAAAAGGGGGAAGAGCACGTCACATAAGTGGACATCACTATGATAATTGCACAGCAACCCATATTTTGAAATGCCATCTGCTCCTAGGGGTGAGAAGCCATTATGGACTGACAACCCTTGAGCTTTTGAACTGATTCTTCGATTTAACTAAATTATCGTATTTTTTTATAATAATTGTTCACGAAAATTGCATTATATTACACCAAGAGATGCTGTTTTATTGTAATCTAATGATTTAGCATCAAAATAATCTACCGGTTATCAAACTGGTCCATTGTGGAGAGGATTTCCAACAGGCTTACGATATTTCTAATCATAGATACCAGTTTTAATCCGTATCCCACATAACAAGCAAACCTTACTGCAAACGCTGTATTTTAATTTTGTTTACTGGTGAATAAGTTTGACTGCTTAATCATTATTCTTACAAAGCAGAAATGTTACAATGTCAATATTAATTTTTTTAAGCATTAAATAAAGGTTCGCATAAACCTTTACGAAAAAAAAAGTATTTAATTTCTCTGCTTTTACTGCAAACCTTGTTCTTAATTTTTTTTCCTTTGCGTGTTTTGTTAATTCCTCATAAGCAGCATTTTTTAATGATGATGCGCGGTTGTTTTAGATTCAATCTCCATATAAAACTACTGCTTATGGAAGCTGAACGCAAACCTCATCGCACGTAATCTAGCATAGTTAGATTTAACATGTTTCAAGCTTGCATGGTTTGTTTGCTTCTCATTTATAAACCTTGTTGGGTTTTAGTAATAAAGGTTGCTGCAACATTAAAATTAATCTTATAAATAGGGGAGAGTGGGGTCAATTGTAACAGGGTACGATTGTAATAGAGCAAAAATTTCGAGTGTCGGGTTCTGGATTTGGTTCCTAGGTGGCGCACAAGGTGTATTTAATAAATCTACATGTACACCCCTGCTGTCAGCCATTTTTATGTACTTTTGAAAGAGTTACATCACAAAAGATATTTTGACGCTGCGTAAGTACTTTTTTTGGTATTAGAATATTATATTGTTACAAAGTAATTTTGTTTAAACAGATGAAAATTATTAACAGAATATGTAAGTGGACACCTTAATTAACATTTAAAAAAAAAAAAGATTAGTTATGTCAATTAACTAGCATTGTTTTTAACAAATGAAGCTGAAATGGCGTCTTGGGGACAATTGTAACAATAAGTAAAGGGGCGATTGTAACAGCTGAAAATAAATTCATAAATTCAATTGCAATTGTTTAACCCTTTAGGTCCCATTTCTTTTGTTTACAAACCATTACTTAACTCTTGAAGAACCACCAACAGTTTCCTATATCATTTATATTATATTGCATGTGCATTATTTTATTTGTCACCTTTCACAGCACAAATTAAAACTTTTAACCCCTTAGTTCTCTGCTCATTATTATTTTTACTTCTAAAATATCACTACTATTTTAATCAATAAAAAAATATATCACAACTATGATAATATGTATGATTAACTATGTTTTAGTTGAATTTATGAACTGTTACAATTGACCCCGTAAGTGGGGACAATTGTAACAAGTGCACGACTGTCAAAAATTGTTAATAACTAATATAACAACATTTAAAATAAGGTATTTATTTTTTTTCTACCAGAGGAGAGTCTACTTTACTCGTCTGTCAATTAATACTAATAATATATTGGATTTTTTGTTAGTTAAAAATAGTTAAGTAAAAAATGTTACAATTGACCCCACTCTCCCCTACTATCTGGAAACCCTTTTAAGGCACAATTTGGAACCTAATTATTTCAGAATATCTTGAATCCCCTTAGTATAAATTGAAAGCAACAAAGATCAATTGTGTGTTTTCATTTTTATTTCAGATTGATGACAATGACACCACTGTAGACCATGGAGTTATTGTCGATACAGAAAACCTAGAAGCCACATCCAAAACACTGCAGATTCCGGTAACCGAGAGACTGCTAAGCAACGGGAGATTAGCGATAAAATGTGAAGCTTCCTTTTATGGTAGAGTAGCCATTATCAGTAGAGATATCACACTTATTGGTAAGAGAATCTTTATTGTTTACTGATATGACATTTTGTGAATGAATGTCTCCCCTCACAAAAATACATGACATATATTCCTCAGAGAGGAGACATTCCTCAGAGGAAAGTCACAAATCAACACTTTCCTCTGAGGAATGTTTAATTTAAACTACAGAAATTAACCGTTTCTTTACAATAACTCATATACCGTAAAAGAAATTACGGATTATATAATGGTAAAAAGTACCGGCAAACTGTGAGCCAGGGTTCTTTTCCGGAAATTTCATTTTTACCGGAACTTGTTACGGGGCAAAAAATCTGATATACCATAATTTTTACAGTAATAATTATGGTAAAATCACTGAATTACTCTTGTTAGATAAATATAACTGTATAAATTCATGCATAATATTTTACTACAAAATGGGTTTTACGAATAATGCCCTCAAAATGACGCCCAGGTAGCACAAAACCATCAATTTTATGTCAAAAATACTTATAATTTACGTGAAAATAAAACGTCGAATTATAGCAAAAAAAGGCTTTCAAAAAAATTTAAAATTCAAGTAAAATTATCAGTAAATAAATTCGTTTTTTTTTTTTTTTAATATTTTACCAACCACTTTTTACTTGGTAAGAATGAATATCTTATTTTTACATAATATTTATGTCAACAATGCGTCAAAATGTATATAGGTTGAAANAAAAAAAAAAAAAAAAAAAAAAAAAAAAAAAAAAAAAAAAAAAAAGGAATTTTTACATAAATAAGAACCAAAATTTACCGAAATTTAAATAGTAAATTTGCATCGTCAATTAATCTAAATAATAAATATTCTTTAGACAGTCTTTTGTAAAATTAAATTCTCAAATATTTTAAAAATTTCTCAGAAATTGTATTCTTAAATATTTAATTCTTGAAATTTAATTTCGTAAAATTTAATTCTGAATCTTACCAAAGGGTAGTTAGTAAAATCCATTCTGTTAATATTACGTAAACTATACCAAAGCTTTTTTTTTACCAAACATCTCAATGGTAATATCATTTTATCAAAATTACGTAAAATTCACGAATAAATCCTATTGATTCTCCTGAATTCTCAAAAATGAAAGTATCACGTGAAGCGGGCTTTACTTAACACCATTCTAAATTTTTACATGTTATCTTAGTATGTTAAAACTTAAGAGAACGCTGTATCATGGTAGGCTTTTTTCATCACCATTGGTATATTAACCCCTTAACGTTCGGTTAATTTTCAAAAAAATGGTCATAAAAGGGCATATTATTTTGGCTTTTGTATTTGTAGTACATATTTGATTAGTGCTGACATCTAGTATAAAATAAACTAACTATTTACAATTACCTTAAAAATATCCTGATACTGCCATCTGGTGTGTAAAATGAAAAATAAAATGTTTTCCGAGCAAAAGAAATGAATTAGTTTTATCCTTATTAGCGCGTTACTACTGAACACTCCAACCTGTCAATATCACGGTAGCGAGAAATAGAGGGAGAAACCTCACCCCGTCATTTTCACGGGAGCGAGAAGGAAGAGGTTAAAATTTAAAGTATAGAGGAAAGTAAGTTCAGGTAAACTGTTAATAATCTTCACACTTTAAGAAATTGCATTTAATGCTTATTGAAAGGAAAAAGAAAAAAAAATATTTTTAAAGTAAAGAAATAATGGAAAATAATTTGAATTTCTTTTTTTATCGGCTATCTTAATTTCAGTTAATCGTAATTAAAATTTCTATTCTAATTTTTCACTCTCACAAGTCACAATTTAAAACAGAACGTAAATTTACGTGATCCATAGTTCGAGTGTTAAAATAGTAATTAGTAATTGAATTTATTTAAATTTAAAATTATTTNAACCTTAACCTAATTCCAACCTTAACCTAATTCCAGCCTTATCCAAACCTTAACCTAATTCCATAGGTTACGGTTAGGTTATCCCAATATAATACAACCTAACCTATTATAATGTATCCCAATGTATTATAATAGGTTAGGTTAATCTCTAATTGAAAAGAATTTGAAAATGTATTTTTTTTTATCGGCTATCTTAATTTTAGTTAATCGAATTAAGAAATTTTGATTAATTAAGAAAATTTAATTAAGAAATCAGAAATTTTAATTAAGAAATCAGAAATTTTAATTAAAATTTCTGTTCTAATTTTTCACTCTCAGAAGTCACAGTTTGGAACAGAAAGAATATTTACGTGATCCATAGTTCGAGTGTTAAAATAGTACAGTTGGATTTTATTTAAATTTAAAACTATTTAGATTGTTGAACTATTATTCCATTCATAATCTTAAAACATTTTAAGAAATTGCGAGTAACTTTTGCTGAAGTAAAAAAGAAATAATTTACATTCAAATTAAAAAATAATTTAAAAGAATTCGAAAATGTTTTTTTTTTATCGGCTGCCTTCAGTTTAGTTAATCGTGATTAAAATTTCGGTCTGCATTAATTAATTGGAGCATTTAAGTTACGCGCAATTGGAAATGCATAAAAAATACAACAGACGTTATTTAATTTACTTCATTTGATGAAAAAATATATTCTTTGAACAGTAGGGATTTTGCTTTATATTTTTTTGTACTAAATTCTTGTTTTAGATCTTTTTATTTGAGAAGTTAAAGAGAAAAGTAAAAAATAAAAATTTTTAAGAAGAAAAGGATCATCATTATAAAATTTATTGTTGGTTTTTATAGAAATGACAAACGATAAACTTCCATTAAATAAAAAAAAACTAGTGTTTTAAATAATACTCTGTTTTTCTTCTTCTTTTTTTCAAATTGAAATGTTTTCATGTTTACTTTTTTATATTTTTTGCTTGTTTTTTTATTTATTTAATTATTTATTCTTTTAGAAGTCGATTCAGCATCTAACTGCACATTCAGAAACTTACTGTTGCTCATAATGCTCTTTATCACACTATGGCCTGGATTTAGGTAGGTACGACAGTGCTTTAATTACGCATAATCAAATTATGCAATAAAGACAGGCGTTAAATAGCCCTAAATGTAAAATCTTATTACTTTCGGATACTTATAATGTAATAAACAATGGGACAAAAATTTCTACCATATTCAGTAAAAGATATTAAAATGAGTTCTTGATATTTTATAGAAAATAAATTTCTGATAAAATTAACATGCTATATGGTAAAGGTATTTCTGGGTCAACCCCCCTTCCAAAAAAATTCTATTTAATAAAACCAAAGCATACCGTACTTAAACAATTCATTTAGTAATTTTTTTTCTGTTTATATGGTAACAAATAATTGGAAATTCCTGTTTTCAAATTTATAGTTCTTTTTACCACACATTTAATATAAGAGAAACAAAACTGAAAATTAATTTCAAACAAATTAATGATTTTTATGCCATGATATAAGGTAGCATGTTAAATTTTCCAAAATTTTTTACCATATTCTGGTAGTTTTGTCAATTTTTTCTCTCAGCGTTTGATATCTTTTGATCTATATCTATATTAAACATAAGGTTAAATTATAAAAACCCTTTTATTAGTTAAAATAATGCTATTTTCATTTCCAGATTATTAAAACATAATAGTAAATATTTTTTTTCAATAATGTAAAGCAAAACCGCTCTGAAATAGTGCTTTCTAATAGGTTAAGGACGGGTTAAGGATAGTTAACCTAACCTTAACCTAATTCCAACCTTAACCTAATTCCAGCCTTATCCAAACCTTAACCTAATTCCATAGGTTACGGTTAGGTTATCCCAATATAATACAACCTAACCTATTATAATGTATCCCAATGTATTATAATTGGTTAGGTTAATCTCAACAAGAAATAATGTATATAAAAAGTTGAATTAAATTGTAGAAAAAGAGGAATAAATGTATATGAAAAGAAATAAAATTCTAGGTAAATATATCAATGAAAGAAGTTATGATTAAACAAGGTTGCCACAGTTTTCAAGGTCATTGTTTTAGTATCAAAATAACATTATCTTCGAGAAAAGAAGCACTTACTTTTTATCAAAACGTGATGCACACAGTAAATAAGTAAAAAAAATATGGGAATAATATTTTTAACGTTAGAATTGAGGTGCTAGGCAGTTATATGTTTAAAAATACACTGCGAAAATTTCTGGATAAAATTTCAGTAAAAGCTACTAACACCCTGAGTGCAGCAAACGCAAAATACATTTTACTGTAAAATCTTGTTTTTACCTAAAATTTTATACCTACTTTTTACAGTAATATTTGTTTAATTACAGAGAATATGTAACAATAAATATTACCTTAAAAATTACGTTTTATTTATATTTTGTTCTGTAAAATTTTACGGTAAAAAGTTCCACAACACTCAGGCTGCTAGTACTTTTTGTATGATTTTATAGTTTTGATTTGTTAGATATTCAGCATTATTCAACTTTATTTAATTTAATATTTGTATAATTCGACGTCTCTGCGAAATATTTAGTATTCTGTTATAATAAATATTTATGTTTATCAATTCATTATCATTTATTTATTTTTACTTTTTGTTTAGATGAAGACTATTCTAAAGCCTTAAAAATGAAGCATGACTACTTGAAGATGTGCCAGTGCTTCCTGCATTGAAAAGATCCATCTTACATGTTTTTATACTGTACATAAAATATCTGAACTGGTATAAATAATGATTGAATTAATTTCGCATTAACGTGAAAGCTTTTTTTTTTAATTTTACACTTTTTCTGAAGAAAGGAATAAATAAAGTCATCTTTTGACTATTCTTTCCAGATTTCTCATCTGCATTTCGGGAAATCATGAATTTTTATTTATAATTTAGAGTTACAGAAAGTTCAAGAAACAAATCTGTGGAACAATAATACGATTGTCAGAGTGCATAAAACGTCATTTGTTTTCTAGTTAACTGAGTGGTTTGTGTTTAATTTCACATCCATGCATTGCAGAAAGTGATAATTGGAAGATTTAATGCCTCCTTTGATACCACACATTTCTAATTAAATTTATACACTGTTAATATGCTTTAAGGCCAAGTTTTGTTTAAAAAAAGACGGAAAAATCTTTCTGATAGAAAATATAACGTATATCACATATTTTGTTTCGTATTGAAAATATGTTTTGATGACAAAACGAACCGAGGTAATCTTTGTAAAGACTTTTTTTAAGGTGTACCTCGTATGTTAGAAGAACCCTAAGTCCAAATCATAACCTTTTATTCAGGAAAGCACTGTAATGAATTTTTATTTTTTTCTTCTCAAATAATAAAAAATGATAACTGATTTTATCAAAACTTTTTGTACTTAAAATGATTTGGGAAAAAAATTGAGTTGAGGTGCTGTTTATAAAGTCTTCTTATTGAAACTGACCATCATAAGTTTTATAAAAAGTGAAAAATAATAATAGATTCCAGGGAATCATTTTGTACTTTGAATATTTTTGAGGAAAGGTAATGATTGCAATTTTTTTTCCTTTGATACATAAACAACATAAATCAAGAATTTTGAATACTTCTGAAAAGAAAAAGAAATGATAACGGATTTTATGAAACTTGTATTGTACTTAACATGTTTTGCAGGAAACAAAATGAGCTAATCAAAATTATGTACTCGGAAAAAAATTCTGGTGAAAATACATCACTTTATGGTAATAACATTTCTGTTAAGAAAATACACAATATTTAAATCATCCGTTTGGTAATAATTCCGTGTGGTAAAAGTTAATCGAAATTTCTAATTTCCAAAATTATAGTTTTTTTTTTAATTTTATTTATTTATTTTTTTTTTTTTACCGAGATTTAGTAAATATTTCAATAATGAGAAGTAAATTTAACCGAATAAATGTTTTTTGATGCCATGCTCTAAGACAAAGTTACCAAATTTGTAACGTCTTGTAAAAGCATCTCATAAAAGCAGCATATTTTGCATCCTATACATTATATCACTGTTATTACTAATTTTACTGAAATAATTACCAAAGCCACTAAGGTAAAAATTACCAAGGTTTTTGTTGTTCCCATAAAGCCAGAAACGCAGCAATTTTTCTTCCAAGTGTTTGATCATATTTTATTTCTTAGTGTAAAAAGTCTCTTTTCTTAAAGATGAACGTCACAATTCAATCTAACCGTCGCTAAAATTGCAGCTACGTTAGATTTAAAATAATTTATCTGGTTCTAATTAGAAACATTTGAAACAGACTCATTAATTTTTGGTTCATTAAATTATAAATTATTTTCAATGAACATTGTATTACACATTAAAAATTAAAAATTTAGTTTGCTGTCTTAAAAGACTATATAATTATTTAATTATTCTTAGATTATTATTTTTTTTGAAACGGAAAAAAACCTTACATGTTTCAGGAAAACATGCATTAAAATAAATTAAATTTCAAATATTTACCTTCATGTTGCAGGAAACCATGCATTAAAATAAATTCAATTTTAAATATTTACAACTTTGATCCTGTATTGGTTTAATACTTTAATTAATTTCATAGGTCTGAAATTAAACTTTTATTTATATTTTTCTAATATGTTTTGTTTCTTGCTACGAGCCATTTAATTTACAATTTCGATGTCACGCATTTCTAGAATATGCATGAAAGTATTTAAAAATGTAAAGCATTTGTTAAAATACGATAAATAAAGTTATTTTAAATTCCCTGCATTATTCTTTATTAAATAACAATGTGTTATATTTAGCCGATTCCTTAAAAAACGGTATATACTGTTTATACTATAAATAGTAATATACAGGGTGTTTATAAATTCCCGGACCCATTTTGATGTTTAATAACTCATAAAATAATAAAGATATATTTAAATTAATAACATAAATGGTTAGTTGTTGTTGTTGTTGTTAATTTATGTCGCACTGGAGCTGCAGAATGGGCTATTGGCGACGGTCTGGGAAACATCCCGGAGGATGATCCGAAGACATGCCATCACAATTTTGATCCTCTGCGGAGGGGATGGCACCCCGCTTCGGTAGCCCGACGACTTGCGCGCGAAGTCGAGCACTTTACGGTAGCACAGTGAGGACCAATACCGCACACCCTCGGTCCCTACGCAGACTGATCCAAGTGGTCACCCATCCACACACTGACCGTAGCCAGTGATGCTTTACTTCATTGGATAGACTAGATAGACTCAAAAAGTTTCATGACCCTTGTCAATGAACTTGTGCCCCCTTCGTCGCACGGAGAATATCAAGTCGATAGTCAATTTCACGCCAGGTAGCGGCAAGCATGTCAGCATCCACAGAGGCTATTGCGGTTATAATTCTGGCTTTTAGGACATCAATGTTCGACACGATCCTCCTGTAAACATTTTTTTTTATAAATCCCCAAAGAAAATAGTCCAGTGGCGTTATATCAGGTGATCTGGATGGCCAAGGAATTGGACCTCCTCGCCCAATCCATCTTCCTGGAAAATGGCCATTCAAAGAACTACGAATGATGATACCCTAATGAGGTGGCTCACCATCTTGTTGCAAAAAGACATGTGGCCGAAGCTCTTCTAGTTGTGGAAATACGAAGTTTTCCAACAAGTTTAAGTATACGACTGACGAGACCGTATTTTCTGTAAAAAAGAGAAAGGCCCAATGACTCGGTCACCTGATCACCTGATATAACGCCGCTGGACTTTTTTCCTCGGGGATTTATGAAGGACAATGTTTACAGGAGGATCGTGTCGAACATTGATGACCTAAAAGCCAGAATTACAACCGCAATAGCCTCTGTTGATGCCGACATGCTTGCCGCTACCTGGCGTGAAATTGACTATGGACTTGATATTCTCTGTGCGACGAATGGGGCACACGTGGAAGTTCATTGACAAGGGTCATGAAACTTTTTGAGTCTATCTAACCAATTATGTTAGTAATTTTAATCTATCTTTGTTATTTTATGAGTTATTGAACATCAAAATGGGTCCGGGACTTTATAAACACCCTGTATATTATGTTTAACCAGTTACTATTAAAAATTTTGAGCAAATTATCCTTAAACGTAAAACAGAAAAAGAAACTTCTTAACTTAATTACAAAATTCGAGATTCCACACAACGAAACAGAGTTCAGTTCTACATCTTATTAGACTTGTAACAAATGTTCTCGATAATATGAATTAAAATATTAATTTCATACCGTTATCGTTACTTAGAAACTCCTTTACAAAAAGTTTTAAATGACATTAAATAAACTATTTCTATCATTCAAGGGAATATAGATCTTTTTAATTTAAATCAAATAAAAAAGTACTGATAATCTTAGATTTTATTTTCTATAAACTATTTCTAACCGTACTAGTAGATCTCACATTATGTCACTTTTCTTTATTGTACTTTTTCCAAATTCCGAACTGAACCAAACAGTAATTCGATTTTCCCACTCACCTCACTTTGCCCCTTTCTGTTACCATGGTTGCAACAAATCTTGATTTTTTTTTTAATAATGTATTTCAGTAAGAAGTTGAAACATACACACGCGGGAAAAAAAGCAAAATTTGCCGAAAACATGGGGAAGTGTGGAATGTAGAAACATTGTGTAACCTTGAAACAACTATTCTATTTGCTTAGAATAAACTTTTCGCAATTATTTTTCATATTTTTCCGTTACGAATTTTGATTAAGAAAAAAAAATATGAGTAAATGCTTTGAGTAAGGAAAATAATGAGTTTAATTTACATAAATATCTAACTTTAATCAACCTTCAAGCTTATAAAGCAAGACCTCAAAATGAGTGTTAGCTAAAGTGTAACATTCTATTTCATAATGTAAAGTGCGAAAAAAAGGTCCATTCTGAATAACTTTTGATCTAATGATTGGAGCTTTCAGTTCTAGGACTCTTAATGGTTTAAGGGTGTGACTACGCATATGCTAATTAATAAGTGCAGACCTTATTTGAAGTGACGAAATCAGACAAAAAAAGTACTTTCCCTGAATAAACATGCCTTTTTTTCGACAGATTCCGATTTATTGATCCCCAAAACAACGTAGTCGCAATCAGAAAAATATGATCCCCATAGTTTGGTCAGGAGACCGGTCCAAAAATTGGACCCACTAACTGAATTTTATTTTTTTGCGTATTTCGCCGTATCTCGAGTGTATGTTTGACCTTTGTCACTCTGAGCTCATGAAATTGCTTCTTAAATTAAAATGTAAGCACAATTTACTTGAAATACATGACGCAATGCTATATAACAGCTAATAAACATAAAATAAAGTGGTAATGTAAGATTGAGATACATAGTTTTTAAATTTCAAAGTGGTAGCTCTTGATGCTACCTCTTAGTTGCAGTGGAGTGCACAAGGTTAAACGGTTACAAATATATTGAGTTCATTTTCCCAACACAACAAAAAATAAATCTACTGCTTATTTTAAAAACCCTTTAAAATATTCTCTTTCTGCTCAATAAATATTCCGCTTCACCTCCCATGTCTCCTTAATAAAAACAATTTTAATGTCGCCTTGAAAAGGTTTCTGTTTAATCCAAATCAATTAGGTTCTTTCTAAATTAAATTATCTCTAGCTCTTTTTCGTTGTTTTGTTGTCTGTTTCCTTGAAAGAGCAATCTATTTGTTATTCAGTTCGTCTATCAGTATAAAAAAGGCATAAATAAATAAATTTGATATAAATGAAATTTATAAGAATATATGTTGAATGCCGATTACTCATATTTTTCTAAATACTGAATCATTTTAGAAGTATTAATATGTAATGTGGAATATTCGTAATGTGGAATATACATTAGAGATGAGTGTTTCTTGTAAAGCTTCACGGTAAAAAAAATGATAACAATTCCGAATCAAATTACGGTAAAAAGTACCAGCACNTAAGAATATATGTTGAATGCCGATTACTCATATTTTTCTAAATACTGAATCATTTTAGAAGTATTAATATGCAATGCGTCAAACTTATTAGCCCTCCAGCAAGCTTTCGTAATGTGGAATATACATTAGAGATGAGTGTTTCTTGTAAAGCTTCACGATAAAAAAAATGATAACAATTCCGAATCAAATTACGGTAAAAAGTACCAGCACTGAGGGTGTATTACATACCGTACCGTAAAATCAATTTTTTAACCGGAAGATGTTACGGAACAATAAATCTGATATTCCGTAATTTTTACTGTAATAATTATTTTAAAATCACTCTAAATAAATAAAATTTACTTTATAAATTATGGTATAATATTTTACGGTAAAAACAGATTTTACGTATGAGTGCATTTACAAAGTGCCAGTACTTTGTTCTTTGATTTTATGCGGAATTTTTTTACAGTGTAATAGATTCCTTAAAAGAAAAATAATTAAATCCATAGGAATAGTTAATTTATGCTTTTATCAATCCCAGATAGTAATGCAGGGTTGATTTTAATGCCAATAACCTTTATCACAAAGATAAACAAGATATCTAAATGATAAGCAAATAAACCATCAAGCTTGAAACAAAGTTAGATTTAACTATCCTGATTTACGCGTGATTAGATTCGTATTAATCTTACATAACGCTTTTAAATCTAAATTAAATATTCTTTTTCAAAGCAAGGCTCGATAAACCTTCTGAAATCGAGAATAATTGAACCAGATGGATTCCTTTTAAAATTAAAATACTTGAATTGTAATAGTTATTTTTACGTTAACAGCAAACCCAGATAGCAGAATAAGATTGAAACAATGTTAAATTTAATTATGCAAGTTTAGGCGCTATGAGGTTTCCATCACACTTGCATAAACAACCATTTTCTATAGATATTGAGTCTTATTTTACTAAACAAGACTAGAAAAAACTTTCTGAAATTTGATAATGAATCATTCGCAAATTAAGAGTAGGAAGCGTTCTAAAACAAATTCACCTTTTCAAGGTTTGCTTTAGAAATTTTTAACCCTAACTAAAACAACGTTTATTTATGCAGGTTTTTATAAACTTTTTGGAACACTTTATAAGGGAGAATTGACCTGCTAAGTTTTCAACACAAACAAAATGTTGCGTTTGAGAGCCTAGATAAAGTTAGAATTAAGAAAATGGTTAAAAGTGTATGTTATAAATAGTTTAAAAATTAGATTTTTTTGTAAATTGTTTTGCAAATTTTAATTAGTTTTTATGGTGACACGCTTTGCATGCTAATATTTCTAAGAAGCGTAAATTAAAAAAGGCTTAATCAGTCGATCTTTCAATGCTAACTAAATAAAAATAAAATACAATGTTCGTCGTGAGAATGCTTACTATCTGGGAGTGTTATTTTAATTGATTAATATTATTGAAATTTCTCATCATTAGACAATAGCATCAAAATAGTTAGTATAAAAAGCTCACCACCTGAAACGTAAAATTAAAATATTATAGTTAATTTATAGGCCATCGGAAAATTCTTCCTGGTGCGAAATATAGCTTTCTATAAAATTTGAAGGCAACATTCTAAACTAGTCATTAATTTAATGTTTCAATAAGTTTAAATGATATTTTTGTTTTATCAAAAAATAATAAAGCTTTTTTGGAATAAGTACAAAAATCTTTCTAGAAAAGTTCATATATACTACTTCTTACAGCAAGACCTTAACGCTCTTTAGGTGAGGAACCGTCATCAAAAAATAAAGATGTCCGGCGAAACCAAGACCCACCCAAGACAGTAAAGAAATAGAACAATCCATTAATTAAA